CCTGTCAACAAGTGATATTCTATCACTCTAATTTTGCCTTGTCTAGAATTTCAGATTAATTGGATTCTCATAGTATGTAGTTTTTGTTGTTGTTGTTTTAAGAGATGGTGTCTCTAGCTTTGCTCCTCAATCCAACCTCACTATTAGCCTGAATGCAGTGGCATGATCAGAGTTCACTGTAATCCTGACCTTCTAAAGCTCAAGTGATCCTCCTGCCTCAGCATCCCAAGTAGGTGAGATGACAGGCACGTGCCACTGTGCCCAGATAATTTTTTAACTACTTTTTGGTAGAGGGAGGGTCTTGCTATGCTACCTAGACTGTCTCAAATTCCTGGCCTCAAGAGATCCTCCCACCCCGGTCTTCCAAATGGATTATAAGCATCAGCCAGCATATGTGGACAGTGTGTAGTCTTTTGTGTCTGCCTTCTTTAACATGATGCTTTTGAGCTTCATCCATGGCATTGAATGAATTAATGTAGTAATTTTTTCCTTTTTATGGCTCTAGTTTATCTATTCACCAATTGATAGACTTTTAGGGTATTTTCAACTTTGGACTATTATGAAGTTGCTATGAACATTCACGTACATACAGGTTTTTGTGTGGAATATGCTTTTATTTCTCTTGGGTAAATATTAAGCAATGGAACTACTGGGTCATACGATTAGTATGATGTTTATATAAACTGCCAAACTGTTTTCTATATTTTTTGGTTCCAGTTGTCATTGTTGTTTTAGCATGCCCAGGCTGGGCTCAAACCAGCCAGCCTCGGCATATGTGGCTGGCGCCCTACTCATTCATTTTCTTAACAGAATCCCTTGAAGAGTAAACGTTTCTAATTTTTATTAACTCAAGTTCAATAGTATTTTTTTTTTTTGTAATACACATTCTTACATTCTTTTTTCTGTGCCTTATCTCAGTGTTGCCTAGCCCAAGGTCACAAAGATTTCCTCTCATGTTATCATCTAAAACCTTTAGTTTTGGCTTTTTTTTTGGAGACAACAGTTTATTTCTATTGCCTGGGCTAGTGTGCAGTGGCATCATCAAACTCACTGCAGTATCAAACTACTGGAATAAAACAATCCTCCTGTCTCAGTCTCCCTCAGCCTCCCAAGTAGTTGGAACTATAGGCGCATGCTACCATGCCAGGCTAATTTTCTATTTTTTATAGAGATGGTCTCAAACTCCTGGTCTAAAGAATCCTTCTGCCTTAGCCTCCCAAAGTGCTAGGATTACAGGAAAGGGTCACAGCACCTGGGCAGTTTCAGCTCTTATCATTAAGACTGTCATTCATCTCTAGTTCATTCTTGTGTGGCATGAGGTAAGGGGTTAAGGTTGACTTTGTGGTTGCTGTTGTTGCATGTGGCCATGTGTTTGTTCCTTTCCCCTGTTGAATTCCTATGTCGTCTTTGTTAAATCCCAAGTGACCATGTAAGTATAGGTCTATTTCAGGACTCCATTGTGTTCCTTGATATACAGAGTCTAAACCACGTCATCTTAATTACTATATGACTTTTATAGGCACTCTTGCAGTGGGAAATATGAATCCACCAACTTAACAAAGTTGTTTTGGCTACTCAAAGGCACTTACATTCTCTTCATAAATTTTAGAATCAGCTTGTCAAATTTTACCAAAGAGATGGCTGTTAGGATTTGGATTAGAATTTCAAATAATAATCAATATGGGGAGATAACAGACATCTTAACAATATTACATCCTTCATCCAAAACAAGTTTCTGAGTTAGTAGGGGATTTCTTTATGGTGTGATGAAAAGATTCTGGAGCTTTTCTAAAGCTCCAATTGCATATGGAGGACCACTTGATATTTTCTAATATTTTGTTATTAACATTTTGTTCTTTTGTTTTTCCTACAGTTTTTCTGTGTTTCCTTTTGGATAATGTCTATTGCTATTCCTCTGTTGCTCTGCACTATCTATTTAAATGTTGATTCCAGTGTGTTTTTAGTTCAGATACTGTGTATTTTTGTTCTTGGAATTTCCAATAGTGTTGTTTAAAAATGTTTCTGCATCTCTCCTCAGCATGCTTATGTTTTCCTCTATCTTCTTGAACACACAGACCGTATCTGTAATAGTGTTGTTTACGTGTTGAAAGTTCTATCAGCTCCGCCATTTCTGAGTCCTATAGGCTGCCTTGTCAAAGGATTCTTCTTGGTGTCCTTGTATTATGAGGTTGTTTTGCTCCTAGACCTCCGTGTGTCTTGGGAATTGTTCTGCCTACTTCTTTCAAGTACAGGTATATCTCAGAGAGACTGTGGCTTCAGCTCCAGACCACTGCAATAAAGCAAATACCACAATAAAGGGAGCCACACTAATTTTTTGGTTTCCCAGTAAAAATAAAAGTTATGTTGGGCTAGGTATGTGGCTCACACATGTAATCCTAGCACTTTGGGAAGCTAAGGTGGGAGGATCACTTAAGGCCAGGAGTTCCTAGACTGGCCTGAGCAACGTAACATAATGAGACCCCATCTCTACAAAAATATATAAAAATTAGTCAGCTTGCAATGATGCATGATGTAGTCCCTTCTACTTGGAAGACTAAGGCAGGAGGATTGTTTGAGCCTAGGAGTTTAGGTTGCAATGAACCTTTGAGATGGATGCCAGCAGCCTCATTAACCCCATAAGATGGATGCCAGTGGCCTCACAACGGCCTCACACCACCCCCCGGGTAGGAAGAAGGGGAAAAAGAGGTAAATGAAATGATGCTAAGTACACAGGACAAGATAAGAACGAATGGGCCAAGAACTGTCATCATGAGAGTTAATGAGCTAAGTGCTGTGACAGATTGTTTTACTTATCCATTAATTACTAGATCAGCATTATGTTACTTTATTGTTGTCTAACGGCCCTTTATGTTACCTATTGGCTAAACCACTAAATTGCAAGGTTCTCTTCTGTAAAAGGGGTCATGATGACCCCATGCTTGCTTTTTGCTTCTTTTGCCAATGTTCTTTTTACTTTTAATTGCTAACTTTCAGGCCACCTGTTTGCCTCATTGCCAACTTTGAGACTAGAAAAACCCTAAGTGCTCTGTCACTTAGTCTGCTTTAGACTTTGCTGAGACAGCCCTGCGGTTAATAAAAGGCTCCTTTTTGAAATTCTAATTTGAGTTGGTGGTCCTTAATGTCGTCCCATAACACTATGATAATGCCACTGCACTCCAGCCTGGAGACTTGTCTCAAAGAAAAAAATACGTTTATATGTGGTATTATATGATATAGTTAGTCTATTAAGCATTATGTCTAAAAAAACAATGCACATACCTTAATTAAAAAATACTATATTTTTTGAAAATGCTAACATACCTCAGCCTTTAAGAGGACTATAATCTTTTAGCTATAATCTTTTTGTGGGTAGAGGGTCTTGCCTGATCTTGCCAGGCTGCTGACTGATCAGGCTGATGGTTCCAAAGGCTGGGGTGGCTACAGCAATTTTTTTTTTTTTTTTTTTTTTTTCAGTTTTTGGCCGGGGCTGGGTTTGAACCCGCCACCTCCAGCATATGGGGCCGGAGCCCTACTCCTTTGAGCCACAGGCGCCACCCAAGCCATTTTTTAAAATAAGTCAACAATGAAGTCTGCCATGTCAGTTGCCTCTTCCTTCCACGAAATATTTCTTTACAGCATGTGATGTTGTTTAATAGTATTTTACACCCTGCCACTGCTTTATCAACTAAGTTAGTGTATAACAATATTCTAAATCCTTTGTCGTCATTTCAATAATGTTCGCAGCATCTTCACCAGAATTAGATGCCATCTCAAGAAACCACTTTCTTTGCTTGACTCAGGGTTTCCATAAACCTTCAATTTATGAAAAGGATAAGAACAAAGGGCAATGAAAGGAGGCGTCAAGCCCCAGGTGGTTTCCTCTCACCCTCTACAGGTCAGTTCTCAGCTAGACTTGCTGGGACCCTCTGATGTTTTCTAGAATTCTTCTGTGCAGCTCACTGCTCTCCAACTCAAATATAGCATTGTGGCTCCCTAAATTTAGATTTCTCCCCAACTCAGTACCACCACCAGGTTCTGTTTGAGTTCCCACATTCTGTGCCATGGCCTGTAAACTTTCTAGACAGTAAGCTGAAATAAAAGGGTACATCTCATTTGTTTACCTTTTCTCAGCAATCTTCTTTTTCTATTGCCAACGTCTCTAAAACCTTTGTTTCATAATTTTTGCCCGGGTATCTACTTGTGCAATGTAGGAGAGCGAATCCAGACCCCATTTCCCCATCTTGGAGAGTTGTGAAGTGTTGATCCTTTACTGTACTCGTTTTTATCATGTATCCATCCATCTATGCATCCCTCAATTTGTTCTTTATTTCAAGATTAATCTCAGATAGCAGTGCTTTTCCCCCTAAATATGTAAGTATACTATTAACTAAAGTTCAATGCTCGTTTATAAATTTTATAAAATTTGTATACAATGAGTGCGTAAGTTTCCAGTGAACGTGTGTGACATGTAGACAAATGCATATGCCTGTGTAACTCAAACCTCTTTTCAAGATTCAGAACATTCCTATTACCCCCCCAAAGTTCTTTCAAGTCTCTTCTCAGTTAATCTCCAACTCCCCTGCCCCATATGCTTTTTCCAGCATAGTTTTGCCTCTTCTAAAACTTCATATAATCATAACTATATAGCACATACTCTTGGATAAAGCTTCTCCAATCAGAACGTTTGGGGATTCATCCATCCTGCTGCACGTATTGGTAGTTCCTTCCTTATTATTTCAGAGGAGGATTCTGTTGCATACTAGTTTAACCACTCTCCTTTTTTTTTACCTTTTTGTTACCGTGGGTAGAGTGTCGTGGCATCACAGCTCACAGTAACCTCAAACTCTTGGGTTTACGTGATTCCCTTGCCTCAGCCTTCCAAGTAGCTGGGACTCAGGCCACAGTGCCCAGCTATTTTTGTTGTTATTGTTTCAGTTGTCATTGTTGTTTTTAGCTGGCCTGGGCTGGCTTTGAACCTGCCAGCCTTGGCGTATGTGGCGAGTAACCTACCTACTAAGCTACGGGCACCACCCACCACTCTCCTTCTGATGAATATTTGGGTGGTTGCCCATTTGACATTACTATGAATAGACTTGCTCTAGACGTTCTTGCACAAGTCCTTTTGTGGAATACATCTTTAGGTGAATACCTAGGAGGGGAACTGATGGGACATAATGTCAGTAGATGTTTTATTTTATAGGAAACCTCAGAATTTTTCCAAATTTTATCCTTCTACCAATGATACTCAAAGTTCCAAGTATTACACATCTTTGCCAATCAATGGTGGTGTGTCAGTCTTCTTAATGTTAGCAATTCTAGCAAGTGCATAGAGGCATCTCACTTTTGAAGCTTGTGTTTGAATTATTGTTAGTTTTCTCTGTCCACAGTGCCTTAATATGTATGCCATATCTCTCCTCAACAGTAGAACCTGTTTACTTGCTCTGGAGAACGGCTGCCTGTGGCAGACATGGTCAGCTGCCCCCATACTGTGCACGCAGTCTTCCACAGTCATTGACTTTGAGCTGTGATGTAGCTACCCAACCAGGGGAAAACAATTTCTTAGCCCCCCCCCTTCAGACAGCTAAGTGTGGCCACAAGATTAGTTCTTACCAATTAAGATGAATAGGAACAAAGCACACTACCTCCAGGTGAGGCTTTGAAGAAGCAGGAGTACCTTTTCCTTGCTTTCTTCTTTCACTGTTGGGATACAGATGACCAAAAGGCCCTGGGTGATAAGATGGTAGCCATAGGATGGAAAAATCCTCAGACCTGAGTCGCCACATGGAAGAGAGAAGCCCTCTGACTTGGGAAGCCCCTTGGTTTATACATGAGCAAGAAATAAGCTTCTATTATGTTTCACCCATTGCAATTTTGGTTCTGTTTGTTACAGCAGTTTAGGCAACACTGCCTAAACTGTTGCCTATCTCTTGAAGGTGCTCCCTCCTTCCCTGATTTCATACAATTTGTAATCTGTATTTTAGTCCATATCTCCAAAGCATAAATGCATCTACTAGACTCTTCTCATGTGCTCCACTAACATGGAACAGAAATTTCATATAATAAATAAATACATATGAAGGTTATTGCACTAGTCAAGATTCTTTAAATTTTTATTGCAGTACAGCATACATACAGAAATGTGCACAAATATACTGTATTTATATCATAAACAATACATACATCTGCGGAAACTTACAACTGGGCCATTCCCTTCCTACTATTTTTCTCACTTGCTATTTTTTCAGCCCTGGTAGTTGAGGATGTCAAGAGAAGAAGAGGTAAAACAGCAAACCGAGTGTGGCACTGGCCCTTCTAAGAAGCCTGAACTCAAGGGTAGACAGCAAATTGGTCCTTGAAGATCGCCTATGTGCCGCCCCATTCCTCTGCCACACTCCTACAATGCCACTGTTTTCTTTTCTTTGTCTTTTTTTTTAAGGCAAGGAGGATGTAAACCAGAGAACATAAAGGAAAAAGCTTCACTGGCTCCTTTCAGAGAGCAATTGAAGATTCTAGAGCTGCTGCTAACCCATGTGGCATCTTTGGTAAATCATCAACATACACTGTGGAAAAGCACTCCTTACTGAAGTCACTGTACTTCCACCTGCTACATATATGTTGCAACATAACTAACCATATGGTTTTATTAGAAGAACGCTTCCTGCCTCCTGCCGAGAGTTGTAACATCTAGGTCCACCTGTCTATGATAAGAATGGCACCTTCATGAATGAGACACTGCTCTGCCCTGTACAATCTACACTGCTGCCTGTGGCTCTTGGGTTGCAGATCAAGTTGTACTTTAGATTTTTTTTTAACGCATCAAGATTATTTGGAAAAAGACTTTGTTACTGAAGTATAACATACAAGATAAAAAGAGATACATCCTTAAAAACAATAAAACAAGAAGAAATCACCAGTTGCACAGGAATGAATGTAAGTAGCTTAGAATTAAAAAAAAATACATAAATGATGCAATAAACATCATAAGCAAAAACACCAGAAATTTGCATAGACCTACAGGAAAAGGGTCCTAGTGAAAACTCCAGATAAAATGTGCTATATATGATGACTTTAGTAAGAAATGTAAAATCCTATGATATCCTTATATATAACCTGGAGAGATATTGGCTGAAAGGTGGATCAGCACATTACTAAAATTCTTAACTCATGGACGCCGATTAAGAGATTGGTCAAATTGCATCCCACTACAACTTCTGAGGCCTACCACAGGGCTTTAGTCCTTCAACTTGTTTCACTCAATATGGGAGGTTTTCATATGAAACTCTGGAGTGACTGGAAAGAAGATGGCTAATACTTCTTAGACAGAATCCAAGATCAAGTCAAAAGATTTAACGAACTTAACTCAAATACTGTCTACAAGCAGCAAAAATAACTAAGCTCAAAGGACTCAAACTGTACCATGCGGTTGTCAGAAAAGCTAGTCTAATACCTGGGTTTCAAACAGAAGAATGAAGAGTACTCCCCAGAACAAAGGATGACACAGTTCTGCCATTGGAAAGTGTTCAGTTCTGAGTTGCATACTGTAAGAAAGATCGAGAAAATGACAGCGTATGTGGACAAAAGGATTTTGTCCTGTTGGTGGTAAATACAGTCAAAGTCACAATATATACGGAATGAAATAACGGAAAATGAAAAGATGCTGAGAGGCTTCCTAAGTGATATGATTAGATATTTGGCATCAAGGATCGATTAAGACAAATGAGGTGAGGACATAGACACAGCTGAGGACAGGCAGAGCTGTCTGAAGATGGAAGTGGACTTCTGTCTTGAGACTCAGGCTGCTGAAAACCATCTGGCATTCATGTTTTTTCCACCTTTGACCTTTTACAAATTTGTACTTAAATATCTGCTCAGCTACAAAATTTACTACTCTTTGAAGAACACAAAAAATGACAAGTCTTCAGAACTACTATGCTAAAACTTTAGGAGATGTGAAAGTCCAAAACCTTGAGAGTTTGCTTTATTGGCTACTCTCTCAAATGGATAAGCAGCTGTGTGTGTTGTTTCCTGATGTGAAATCTGTCTAGTAAATACAGTTTATTTCAGCACCCTTTTTCTAGTGTTAATCATCACTGATATATAAATTTTTGATGATGAATGACGTTTCACCATATTAGTGTGGTACACTGGAACATCCATGTATGCCCCTCCCTGCAGAAACCAAAAACCTTAAAAATGTGTGTCTACGTATATATATTTCCCTATTATATGTAGACAAAGATACACACAAAAACATGAGTTACTAGTAAAGAATTCCTTCCTTCTCAAAGAGAGTTTACATAGCCAAGCATCCAAGTGCACTTCACTTATGATTTTCTTTATACAATTCAGCTTACCCATAACTATTCTGAAACATGTGGGAAGAATCTAATTTTGACCCAGTTTGTCTTAAAGGTATGTCTTAGTGCACTATTGCTTTAGGCACAACCTACATAGGTGATTCCAATAAGTCTTATCTCAACATTCACTCTCAGAGTAAACAAAATATGAATAAATCCATCCAACATTCTAAAGAAGCTTGTTATTCCACACAATTACATACTAGAATTAAGCAGGGATCCAAAAATGAGAGGGAATGCTTCCACAGTTTTCTCTTAAAGAGATTACTATTATCCTTTAAAATTTTATTATCCTTTAAAGTTTTCCTACAGCACTTCCCATAATATTTATATCTATTTTCCTTGGAAAAGCAAGGATTAATCTTAGCATATCATTGACCTCAAGAACCAAATGTGTTCCTTTTCCTTTTTACTATACTTTCCTGCACTTTTCAACCCCACAGTGAGAATATCATTTTTCAGAAAGGGAATATACACAGTTACTATATAGTTACAGTTGTTTACTATTCCTCAGTTATAAGAGCAAATTGATTAACAAATGAAATTGTAAAAAAAAGGCACAGGAGAGGAGCTTGCCCAAGTGGTGGTTGTCCAAAAGTACTATTTTTTGGCTGCTTGGAGGAGTATCTGAGCCAATTCCCTGTCAGATCAAGTAATTTACTATTTTCTATACTCCTGAAATATAGGTTTTGAAGTCACCTAAATTAAACCCCAAAGGGTCTAATTTAGAAAGGTTATTAAGATTTGTATTCGTGTAGGAGCAGCCAGTTACAAACCTGCTTCCTTTCATATTAACTATAAACACCACCTCCTTTCAGAAGAGATCTGGAAATGATAAAAAGCAGAGTCACAAGATGCTCTTACACAAACATCTAGAAATCCGGCAACTTTAGACACAAACAGTGCTTTTAGGAAAACAGTGATGGCAGATTAAAACCTGCCTTTAACCACAAGAGTCCCTGGAATAAAACCATAAGTGCTGCCAAGAAGCCATAGGTGTTTATTGTATGGACAGGAAAAAATAGGATTTTGAAGGCTACAGTGATAGTTCTTCTCTGTCTCCACTAGTACAATATAAGAGTAAAGGTCAATAGCCACATGAATACTGTAATTATAAAATGTTGGGTTCATATTTCACTCAGGTTTACAAAAACCCTTTTTGTCCTTGTACTTCCGGGGGTTTGGAAGGTTTGCCAAGTCATTGCCTTTCTTGTCACCAGAGTTCTCAGCAGGTTTACAAATGGACGTGCTCAAGACTGCCATCTGGTGGAAATGATAGAAATTGAAGTAATTTTTTTTTTTTTGGTACATGAATAATGACAGTTGTCTACTAAAAAGATATAAAATATAATTACACAGGAGGGCAGAGAGTTAACAGCAACAAGAAATATAAAATAGCAAAGAATTAATTTCTACATCAAGGTGTAGAGACAATATGGAGAAAACTACAATACTGTATTTAAAAATACTTGTATAAATAGAAAGATGTAGTGAAGTTCCTGGAAGGGAACTCACCTCTGCTAAAGATATCAGTGACTCCCAAATTAATCTACACGCATAGCAACTCAATCAACATATTAACAGGATTTTTATTTGCAAGGGAAATCTTGGCTAGTTATTCAAAAGTTCTTCTGGAAGAATAAATACATTCCATTTTTGTTAAGGGGGCATTTTCCCTGTGAGATAATAATTAATATGTCATGGTACTGATACATAATACAGTGAAATATAACACCCATAAAAATGTAAGCATACACAAGAATATATAATCAAGGGCATTTTCAAATAATGAGAAAAGATTGCCTTATGTAACAGTTGATGTAAGGACTGGAAAAATTATTGGAAACATTAGTAGTAAGTTCTTGTTGTAATAAATATTAACTTATCAAAAAGGCCCAAGCCTTAACATATATGTAAATAATTACTTACTCAAAATGTGAAAATATTGTCTGTGTATACAGCTGAAGGTGGATCAAACTGTTAAAGAAAAATGACATCATTCTAAAACTTCTGAATATATAAAAGATACCTGTTAAAATTCAGCAGATTTAACATCTAAGATCATGTGGTTTACTGTAAATTGTAAATTTTCAATCTTTTAAGAAAAGTAAAACAAAATAAACCTTACTATATTTGATTTTACAGGAAAGTGTGTAAGTTTTTGTTCGTTTGTTTCTAAGGATCTTACTCTGTCACCCAGGCTGGAGTGGAGCAGCATTGTTCACTGCACCCTTGAACTCCTCCACTCAAGCAGTCTTCCCACCTCAGACTTCTGAGGAGCTGGGACTACAGGCAAATCCCAACGTGGCTGGCTGATTTTTAAATTTTTTGTGGAGATTGGGGTCTCTCTATGCGCTGACTAGTCTCAAACTCTTGGAAATAAGCAATTCTCCCACCTTGGCCTGCCAAAATACTAGGATTACAAGCATAAGCCACCACGCTCGGCCAAAAGAAGTATTTGTGACCAAGGAGAGTAGCATTTTAGCCCCCCTTTAGTGCCTCTCTAATCATAGTGAGTAGAGAGCCCTTATTCTACCTACAGAAATAAAATTATCATGTAAGAAAAATCTCAGAAAACATAGTAGTTGTATATAAGATTGGGGGGGGGATAGCCCATCATGTTGAGCTTCTGGTCTTTTCAGTATGGTCAGATGCCCTTTGTTCTTACTCCCATCTCTCAATATCCTTAAAATAACAACAGCAAACCATAAACAGTATTAACAATATTAACCGGGAAAAATACTTCATGACATATGTAACAAGGTAATGGTTGCTTCCCTATATAGATGAGGAGCTCTCCCTCATCAGTAAGAAAAATGAGCAACATGTATAATAACTAAGTAACTGGCGAAAATGGAAAAAAAAATGTTTACGTACTAGTGATTAAATAACTGGGAATTAGTCAGAAAATGTAAGTTACACTATTTTACCCACTGGACTGTCATTGTGCAACTTTGGTGAGAAAGAGAAATACGTGGACATTCTTGTACACTATTGGGATGATAAACTGACACCCCTCTTTTTAAAGGCAATTCAGGACCACTGTATTTTATTTTTGTTTCTATATTTTATTTTTTAATTTAAAAATTTATGAAAAATTCATACAGAAATTACAGAAAAGACTATCTTGTTTACCTGCTGCCTAGATTTAATTAACATTTTTACATCTTTACTTTTATGAGAAAAAAACTCACTTTCCCCAATACCTTTGAATTACTAAAGTTACTGCGTATTATTCTCATGCATGTTTTAAACATATATACGTTGTATATATCATACTTCAACTCTAAGATTCTATGATTTTATACAGCATTCTTTATGTATTATCAAGAAAAAATGCTGTCAACTATGAAGCAATACTTTATCAACACATAGGATTATCTTATACTTATTGTAACAGACTTGAATCGTTTTTTAATTTTACATAATGCTACTTCAGTATTATGTGACAAATTACTTTCAAAATATTAAAAATGTCTCAGGCTCGGCGCCCGTAGCACCAGTGGTTACAGTGCCAGCCACATTCACCAAGGCTGGCGGGTTCGAACCCAGCCTGGGCCTGCTAAACAAGGGCAACTGCGACAAAAAATAGCCGGGCGCTGTGGCAGGCACCTGTAGTCCCAGCTACTCGGGAGGCTGAGGCAAGAGAATTACCTAAGCCCAAAAGCTGTAGTTTGCTGTTGAGCTGTGACACCACTCTACCGAGGGCAACAAAGGGAGACTCTGTCTCAAAAAAAAGTGTCTCACTGCTTAAGGAAATGAGACAATTCGTTATTGCTGGAGTCCAGCCCTTCTCCATTTCATTATGCCCCAGTATGTCTTATGCTAAAAGATACAAAGAGGCTTCGGAGTTATTCCTCCCTGATAACAAGTATCTACCTTAACTGAAGAAACTAGTCTAACGGTCTATTTAAAAGGGCCAGAATTCATCTACTTCTCTCTGGGACTAGGGTGAGGCACTTACCTTGGGGATAAAATTTGAGAGGTGGCATGTAATCAAAATAAATGTTTTAATGCAACATCAAAAAATCGAAACAAATGTAAAATCCTAGTGAACAAGGTTATCAGTATTTAAAATAAAGACAGAATCATTATTGCTGAATTTACCTTACTAACCCTGCTCTCTAAGGGAAGGAAAGGGGTCATAACAGGTTAAAATGAATAAGCAACATGGGACTACACTAC